GGGGGCACGTGCCGACGTCGGCTTGTTTCGGGAGGGAAGCAGCGCCTGCGTCCCACCCGGCAAAGGCACTGTGTCCCCTCCCTCTGGTGACAGGGACAGAGCCCAGGGCCTGGCTTCATGCGGGGCCCTGTCCTGCCTGTGCTGGTGCCTGCAGACCGTGAAGGCAGCCCACCGGCCTGCTGGCAACAACGGGGGCTTTGTTTGGCTGCGGGGCCTTGCTTGTCGGTGTGGGAAGGGACATCCCGGCTGTGCTGGGTTGTCCGGGGAGAACGGTGCACAGTTCCCCTGCACAGTGGGGAAGGGCAGGGACCCCCGGGGGGGGTCCCCCAGCCCCTCCTGTGCAGGTGTCACCCTTGTCCTTAAATCATGTGGTGGGTGTGAAGCGGAGTGTCCCCTGCCATGTCCCTGGCCCTGGGCAGGCAGTGGGACAGCCCGGTCTGGGGGGCTGCAGGCAGGGATTGGGGACACGGCACTCCCACCCCAATAGGCTGGCAAGGAAAGGCTGAGCTGGGACTGGGGGAATCCGAGCCCGGATCCTCCCCGCAGCCGGAAAATATGAATAATTCTGCAAATATCTGCGGTGCAGGCGTGGGGAGCCCAGCCAAGGCAGCAGCAGGCCGCTGGCAGGGCGGTCCTAACACCTCCAGCAGAACCGGGGCCCCCTTCTCCATGCCTGGTAGACCCCCGGGATGCGGGGAGGCTGTTTCCCCTGCTTCCCTGTTTTTGGAAGGGTGAACACCCTGTGGAGCTGGGCTGGCTCAGCCCTTCGGGTGCCTGGGCGTGATGCCGGCGTGTGCCGGCGGAGCGGGGTGATGCCGCGGGAGAGGCGTGCGGGTGGAGCAGCCCTGCTGCTCGTGGCCAGGCGGGGGATGGATGCGCGACCGTGGCCGGGCCGGCCCAACCTGCCTGGAGCGGGGAGCCTGGCAGGCGAGGAGGAAATGCCAGTGTAATTAAAGGGACAAGAAAGAGAGACTTAAGAGTCAGCAGCTGGTTGCAGCACGGGACACGTCAGCGAAACCCGACCCTGGCATTGCAAAACCAGCCCCGGCCTCACCGGCCTCCCTGGGTCTGGCCCCCGCTCCGGGGTTGCCCACCCTGGCACCTGTGCCCCAGGCTGGCGTGGCAATGAGGGGTGCTGGGCCTGCCCCTTGAGTCTCATAAATGCTTCACGAGGGCTCCACGATGCTTTATCAGCTCGGTTTGCTCCTTTCGCTGGGCACCAATGGCTTGGCTGTGATGTGGGGGTGCAGTGGGACCTGGAAGTGTTGAACGGGCTGAGGGGTGAGCTGGGGTTGCCAGGGAGGGGACAGGGTGATGGTGACGCCCTGGATGTCACCCAGCTCCTCCCCAGTGTCAGGGGGCTGACAGCACAGGCCATGACGGGGCCAGGCTGGTTGGGCCAAGTGACTCAGGCAGCTTCGGTGACCCTGCCCAGCGGCGGGCGCACCCCACCCTGGGGTGCACCCCACCCTGCAGAGGCGTTAACCCCCTGCACTGACTGCAGGCAAGCACGGCTGCCTCTGCAGTATGGGGGGGCTCTGTGTGTTGGGGGGGGGGGGGATGTGTTCCCCAGAAGGGCCCCCCACGGCGGCCTGCACGTGCGGCTGTGCGACCCGGCAGGCCCCCGCACATGGTGGGCCCCTCGCCAGGCCCAGCAGGGGCTGCCGGAGCTGCAGACAGCTCTGAGCGGGGCTGGGGAAGGGGCTGGCAGGGCAGGGGGACAGCAGTAACCCCACCTCTGGCAGCCTGGTGGGGTTTGGCTCTTCCCTGCCCAGGGACCCCACGCTGCCACCTCCCTGTGTGTCCCTGTGATGTGGTGGCAGGAGACAGCAGGTCCCTGGCCCAAGTCCCACTACCCTCCCCCATCACCCGTGCTAATTAGAAGAGTCATTAAAAGGGCTGAAAAACAGGGTTGAGAGACAAGGCAATCACCTCCAAAGCAAGGACATCAGCCAAGGCACCCATGGGGGGGCTGGGCCAGATGTAGGGACAGTCTCGGTCACCCCAAGAGCATCCTCCCCCCCCGTCCCTCTCCTCATCCCAGAGGGACAAGGGTGCAGCCCCAGGTGCTGTGCCAGGTCCCCTGGGTGTCAGCAGGACAGGGAGCAGCAAAGTCATAGGGGACAGGAGCCAGCTCAGGGGTGATGATGAGCCCCAGGACTGTGTAGGGGACACAGCTGACTCCAACAGGCACAGGGGGAACCTGTGGGGCAGGGGAGTAACCTGTTCCTTCAGCTCCACAGCCTGTGCCTAGACCACCCCACAGCGGGGCCCACCCTTGGGTGGCAGGAGCAGAAGACCCCCTTGGGTGCAGCTATGGGACAGTGGCAGAAGCAAAAGGTTAAACCAAGCTGGGTGTGCTGGGAAGGCCACCAGCTCCACCCCCCCCCGGCTCTGTTCTGAAGCCCCCCCTGTTTGATTTGCACCCTGCCGAGAGCAGCAGGGGAGATGGGGGCCCACTGGGGCACAGTGCCCCACTGCAGATGGTACCGACAAGCCAGGCCATGTCTCCTGGTAGAGCCTGGGGCATACAAAGGTACCAAAGTCCCTAAGTCCTGGGGGTCCAGGGAGGGGGAGAACTGGGGCCAGGCTCCCTGTGCTGCTTCGCTCTCACTGGCTGTGTCCCAGGCAGGAGTGTGGTGGGGACTTTCCCGCTCCACGGTCCCTTTGGGGCGAGAGGGTCCTGGGCAGGCACAGGCAGACAGCTCTCCCTCCCCAGCAGGGGTAGCGGGGGGATCCTGAGGTACCCCCTGGCAGAGCCTGGCCCCTAACCTTGGCTGCTTTTCTCTCTCCCACAGAGCTGACACCATGAACCAGCTGATCCTTTGCACGCTGCTTCTCTTGGCCCCCCGGGCGCTGGTTGGGGCGTGTCCCGCGGGCTGCCAGTGCCAAGACCCCAAAACCATCCTGTGCGCGGCCAGACGGGGCCAGACCGTGCCCCGGGGGCTGCCCCCCAACACCCTCTCCCTCTACGTCTTTGAGAATGGCATCTCAATGCTCAGCGAGGACAGCTTTACGGGCCTTCCTGCCCTCCAGCTCCTGGACCTCTCACAAAACAAGATCACCAGCATCCAGAAAAACATCTTCCAGCCCCTGACAGAGCTCGTCAACTTGGACCTGTCCTCCAACCAGCTGCAGGAGATCACCAACGAGACCTTCCATGGGCTGCGGCTGCTGGAGCGGCTCTACCTGCAGAAGAACAGGATCCAGCACATCCATGCCACTGCCTTTGACACGCTGGAGAACCTCCTGGAGCTGAAGCTGCAGAACAACCAGCTCTGGGCTGTGCCCCCCCTCAACCTGCCCAACCTCCTGCTGCTGGACATCAGCTGGAACAAGATCCCCACCATTGCACCAGGGGCCTTCCATGCCGTCAACATCGAGTCCCTGAAGATTGCGGGGCTGGGCCTGACAAGCTTAAACGAGGAGCTCTTCCAGGCCCAGAACAACCTCCACGAGCTGGATATCTCTGACAACCTGCTGGAGCGCGTTCCGGCGGTGCTGCGGCGGCTGGGGAGCCTCACCAAGCTCAGCCTGGCTGGCAATGCCCGCATCTCCCAGCTGCCAGCTGAGGACTTCCACAACCTTCACAACCTCCAGGAGCTGGACATCAGCAACCTCAACATCAACACCATCCCTCGGGATTTCTCCAGCTTCTTCCCCAGACTGCGGGCCGTGACAGCCGCCGGCAACCCCTTCAACTGTATCTGCCAGATGAGCTGGCTGGTGCAGTGGGTGAACACCAGCAGCGTGCTGCTCCGGCGGCCCGAGGAGACACGCTGCCACTTCCCCCCTAAAAACTCAGGCAAGCTCCT